CATTTTCATGGTCTGAATCAAAGTATCTTTTGAAGGTGGTAGGGTTGGGTTGATTTTGAGAGCTGTACAGAGTTTGTGTAAATGTGTACCCATAATGACAGACTGAAGAGAATTGCAGCTATTTGAGACCATGGAATGAAACCTAATACCCAGATGAGATCAGAAGATGTGTCTTTTTAAATGGATGTATTTATGTTTTTATATGTGCAGCTGAAGTTCTAGAATGTATTGTAAGTGCTTGAAGAAAATTTCTTTTCAAACAGCAATGGTAATTTAACTTATAAGTTGTACTAGCTGTTGATTGTGGAAGTCGTCAGGTTTATCCATTTGTGTACACTGAGCAGGCAAGTTTCTATAGTACTGTGCATTTCAGTAGGTGTCATGGTATGTATACAGTAAATAGAGATCTCACTAATGTTTTTTTTCTGCTAGTGATTTGCATTATGCCTTTGTACATATGTGCATATGCTGCATGCTACTAGCTTATATATTAGTTTATGCGCTACAACAGTGTGTGATAGAGAATGATTTTATCAGTTATTTTCCTACCAAAGGAAGCAGCTGAGTGATTGATTATTAAGGTTACATGGACGTTTAGTAACAAAATTTATTTTAAAATGGTGGAAATACTCCTTAAGCAATGGATACCACTGTGTGACCAACAGAGACCAAGGAAGTGGAGGGACAGTCATATTCCATTGATGGCTTTCTAGTTTTAAAAATGAAACAAAACATGCTAAAGTTTCGTCTTGAATATCAGTGATTAGTTATTTACTTATTTTGGCACCTGTAATGTATTCTCTACAGAATTTAAATTTCCAAGAAAGGTTTGAGTAAAAAGAAGCTGAAAGTACACTGAAATTTTCTAATTTTCTGCTGTCTAATAAAGACAGGAACCAGTAGAACTGGGACCAGGCACTTAGGTGAAATGCACCTTATGCCATCCATTGTGCTTTAAAATTTGCTGGAACAGCTCATTTCCTGTAATTTTGGAAGGGAGCATGTCACTTGCATGCCTCTATACATTGTAGCTGGTGTTATTGATGCATTATATTAAATTGAACTTTGGGATTTCTGTATAAAAATATATATATCTAAATGTAAAGTAAATATTTTAATTTAATTTTATTTAATGTTACTATAGCAATAGCTGTATTTTTCTAAAAACCTGTTCTGGAAGAGATGCCTTTGTTTCTTTCCATTGCATACAGAGAGCTTAGGTGGTTATCACACTGGAGCTTAATTCTGAGACAGCTAAAATAAGGTGAGAAGAATTTGATTATAAAGGTTAATGGGGAAGAATATTTTGACACTTTCTAGTGCATAGTTGCTATTACTGTAGAAATGGAACTACAAAAAATACACACTAAATTATTGTAAAGAAAAGATCATTACAACTCGGGCTCTCAATCAAGCTCCCAGGACTATGATACTGAAATAAACTGTCAATAGTTTTCAGTATTGTCATGAGAGAATCACTTGAGAGGAAATTCAAGCTCTATCTTCTTGGAAGTCCATGGAAATTTTTCTCTAATCTTAATGCAATTACCAAGAAGAGCACAAAAGAGAACCAGTCCTTCTCTGGCAGTAGTGAGTTGGAAGAGGTAGTAGTGAGTCTGTAGGAAGAGCTGGGTATAATCACAGTGATTGCATGCAAAATTTAAGGTGACAATACTGTTTTTTCCTATTGTTAATATAGTTTTGCACTGTATGGACATAATACGTAAGGAGAAAAGGCAGGAACATGGACATCAAGGTACCGAATTGATGATTCTACTCTGTTTATTACAGAATTCCAGCAGTGCTTCAAAGAACTCCTCTTTCAGCTGTGACAAAGGATCACGGCAAGTATTTCTTTAGTATTTTGTGTGGTGTCACATAATACTGTCATGGGTTTATGTTTTGTTACTTTTGGTTGTCATTTCTGTGTGTTCAGTCTTCTGCTGGACATGTCCTGCTGTTCAAGGAACATTTTTACAACTCTTGTCTGGGAAAAAAGAAAGGGTATATTTGCTGAGTTTACTTTTAACTTAATGACTGTAATTTTCTGATTATTCTATTAAGAACAAGGTAAGGTGCCTAGTTGTACCCTCAACTGGAAAAGGAGAATTTAGAGTAAACAGTGTCTATAGACATACCTGTGAGATTATATGCATTACTTTGGTTTCTGTTGCAGTTTGGGGATTGGTTTTTGTTTCACTTCAGTGTTACTCAGAGCAGATTTCCAGGTGGTAAGTGTCTGCAATGTTTTACAGATCGCTGGTGAATCTATCATTTTGTAAAGCATTTGTAGAATTCTGCAGGAAAATAATTTCTGCAGACATCAGTACCTATATGTTTTCTGTTTAACTCCAAAATTTGTTGCACTAGTGTTTGTTAAGTTGCTTGTATTGATTTTACTGCTTCTGTATGATACTATTGGTTGCAGAGATTTTTTTTCACTGTAGTTTTGATGTGAAGAATTCTGGTGTTTGGCTAACTCCATTTGTGTACTGAGCTGAACACTTTGAGCACTAGAGGCATTTGATAAGTTGTAACTGTAACAATATTTGAAACATCAGATACTTGACTGTGTGAATCCAAGTTGCAGTTTTCCTTATCGTGATGCTGTGTTTATTCTCTACTGCTTTGCTCTGAACCGCCACATGTAATTTTTTCACAGAAGTGCAGACTTGGATCACATTATGGAGGAAGGCTATGAACTTGACCTCACTTACATCACAGAGCGAATCATCGCTGTATCCTTTCCTGCTAACTGTTCTGAGGAAACTTACTTCCACAATCTTCAAGACGTAACCCGAATGCTCAAATCCAAACATGGAGATAATTACTTGGTATGTGTAGGATCTGTCTTCTGTGATACGTCTTTTTCAGTCCTGCAGGAGGACCACTTGTAGGTCCCTATATGCCATCACAAACTAAAAGTCACTTTCCTAAAGCAATTTTGGTCCACCATTACAGCTTTGCAAGGAGGAACAAGGTTGTCAGTACCATTTTAAGCTGTTGGATGAGGACAGGTTTTAAAAAGCACTTTTCTGCTGGTGACACAACGTAAGCCACCAAAATTTCAGGACTTGTTACTGTGCCTTATTATTCCATGTGAGACCGCACCTGGAATACTGCGTACAGCTCTGGAGTCCTCAGCACAGGAAAGATATAGACCTGTTGGAGAGAGTCCAGAGAAGGGCCACCAAGATGGTCAAAGGGCTGGAGCACCTCTGCTATGAAGACAGGCTGGGAGAGTTGAGGCTGTTCAGCCTAAAGAAGAGAAGGCTCCAGGAAGAACTTATAGTGACCTCCAAGTACTTGAAGGGGGCCTAGAGGAAAGCTGGGGAGAGGCTTTTTATCAGAGAAGATAGTGACAGGACAAGGGGTAATGATTTTAAACTGAGAGAGGGGAGATTCAGGTTAGATATTAGGAAGAAATTCTTCACTCTAAGGATGGTGAGGAACTGGAATGGGTTGCCTAGGGAGGTTGTTGATGCCCCATCCCTGGAGGTTTTTAAGGCCAGGCTGGATGAGGTTTTGTACAACCTGGTCTAGTGGCAGGGATCCCTGCTCATGGCAGGGGGGTTGGAACTTGATGATCTTTAAGGTCCCTTTCAACCTTAATGATTCTGTGATTCTTTGATTCTATGATTGCTTTATTTATATTGTAATGAATACTTTGGAGATCAACTGGCTTGGTCAAAACAAAGTTTGATGCCCTCTGTTCCAAGTATGTTTCTGCAAATTTGCAAAGTAACCTGGGAAACTGTACCCAGGTTGTAGATCCAGAGAGCTCATTTTGTTTTTTGTGTTTGTGCTTGTTCTATGTGACTTCAAATGTTAGTTGAATAAAACAGTAGGCAAACCTGAAGCCTTACCACTGTAGTTTCTTGTAATTATAATGTGTTTCAAATACAACTACTTACAACATAAATGATGAAGTCTTGACGACTGATTATTTTTCTTTCTGAACAGGTGTTAAACCTCTCTGGGAAGAGATATGACCTTGCTAAGCTTAACCCAAAGGTATTGGTTTTCTTCCATAACATACATCTCTCTATTCCTAGTGTTAAAAGCAACTTAAATGGCCTGATAAACCCTGAAACTATACAGGTGCTGAAATACAGAGTAAGAGAACAACTTTTGGAAGGTGATTAAAAACCTCACAGGCATCCCTTTTTATTTTTTTCCCAGCTCTATGTCTGTTAGATCTGTGCTTTACATAGCTGTTCTTGTTGTTTTCTTAGACTTTGCACACAGGACCTGAAGCCCACTGTGACTTCTGAAAAATTCCTGTGGAGTGATACAAATTGAACTCTTGAGTATACTTTCTTTGTGCAACTACAGGATACTAAGGGTTATATACTGTCATGTACAGTCTGATAGCTTAAGCTTGTGAACTTCGTTCAGATACAGAATTCCCTTTTGTATTTTTTTTTCATAGTTACTTCTCTGCACAGTAGAGGCATAAGGAAGAGAGCTATTGATGTCTGCCTTTTGTTCCTCCTCACCTGTTGTTCTATTTGTTTGTTGTAAAAAATCACAGGCAGATACTCTTCAGCACCTACTATAAGGCCAAAGTAGCACAGATGCATATTTATAGCAGTAGATTTACAGATACAGATATATATATATATGCTACCTAAGGAAAATATTAAAAGAACTTGGATTTTGACCTTTTGAATGCTTTAGATCATGAAGGATTTAAGGTGTTCATAGTCACTGGCTTTGTTAGGGTTAAATATGCATATAATAACAGATTGAATAAGCTATTATATAGTGACTAAGTTGAATAGAAAATGGAAACAAAATTTTGAGATGTCAAAGATGTTGCACATGGAGGAAAAAAAATTGCAAATTAAATAAAAACAATCACGAAGTACTGGACCAGACCAGTTAACTTTCTTTGTTGTTTTTAATTTTCTAAATACTTTACCATTAGAAATGCCTGAATTTCTAATTGAAAATTCTGTAAGAAATTAAGATCTTCAGAAATACCTTCACTAGTGCATGATTGATGGGTTTAGGGGGCAGTTTTTTGTTCGTTTTTATAAAAGTATTAGTATTTTTAAAACCTCAGACAAATCCCCTTCTTTCCCTGTAGAGACCTGTAAGCTTTTTTAGTTATATCATGGCATTCAAATGACATGTTTATCTTGGGTTAGAAAAAATATGGAGAATCTTCACTATCCCAATTATTTGAAGCTAGATTATGTAGGATTAGGGTTGAAGTGTCACTTTCGAATATTATTTGTTTAATTGCAGATTATGGATGTAGGGTGGCCTGATCTCCATGCTCCACCACTTGATAAGGTGTGCACCATCTGCAAGGCTATGGAGTCATGGCTGAACAGTGATCCTCAACATGTGGTGGTGATTCATTGTAGAGTAAGTGAGTTTTGTGCCTACACATCTCTTGTCCATTTGTATTAATTTTCCAAAACCTTGTCCTTTATTCTTACTAATGTAAAAAATAAATTAAAAAAGTTTAATCTGATTTTGATGTTGGAAATAGTATGTCGAATCTTCAGTTGATTTAAGTAAGCTTGAATCCACTGACCTTGCATACTTGTTATAGATTGCTTTTTATGATAACTAAGGTTCTAGCCTCTACTCTGAGTATAGCATGCAGTGATGTTAGTTCACTTCCTTCAAAGGTCAGTACTACTTGTGAGAGTGTATTTAGAAGCTTGAGGTTTTTCCAGCTCCGTAGCAAACTGTGACATTGATGGATTTTGTCGCAGGATAAGGATGGGGAACATATCACAGATCATCCTCTTAGAATGTGGTATGGTTGTGGGAAATTAAGGCATTAATAATATGTCTCTGTGTTGCTGGCAGATGTTACTTGAAACACAATGAGGGTAATAATGGGACCAGAACTTCTCTTCGGGTCAGATTGTGTTAGTCCTCAGTCCTGAATTTATTGCAGGCAGAATGCCAGAATTATATGCAACACCATTGAATTCTTACTAGTTGCAGGATTGCAGTCAGGAGAACGGCCCATACATGGGACAAAAGAAAAGGGTACAAGGCATTCCTAGGTATTTTATGTACAAATTGGTAATGGATATTTTTGATTAATACCTTTTGGTAATGAATTTAAAGTTTCCAACCACAAAGATAGATACTGCAACTTCTGTCAGCTGAGAGACTGAAATTGTTTTGAAATCTGTGTGAATTACCCCTTGGTAAATTATACTGAATGTATGTCATGTAAATCAGTAAAGAAGAGTTTGGAACATTTTGAAAATGAACCACAGCAAAATAAATAGTAGCTATTATAAATCTCTGGTGTGAAGGAGATAAAAATGGCCACACCTGTTAGAAACTCCTATGCTTTCCAAAATCGGTACATTATAGCATTTGATGTCAGGAATTGCAACGATTGTCTAGACTTGTCTTGAACTATCTCTGGAAATAGTAATATAAAATTAGAATAGTTGATGCAATGTTTCTACTACTGCTGGAGATTATTTTTATAAAATAATTTCCTCTCAACCAGTAAGACTTAACAGGCATGAACACAGAAATCCCATTTAGTGTTTATGTCACTTGTCAGCCAGCTTACATAGACGGACAAGCTGCTGCCCATCATTATTACCTTTCCAACAACACAGGGGATGCATGAGAAAAAGGACTCTCTGGATCTCCTGTCATTAAGTTTTGTTTAGTATGAGTCTTAATAAAATTAATGCCAAATAATGTAATAATTTATAATTTTCTTTTTCCTAATACAGGGAGGAAAAGGAAGGATAGGTGTAGTCATATCATCATATATGCACTTCACCAATGTTTCTGCTAGGTAAGTTGTGAATAATGCATAATGTGTGGCTTCTACAATTAAGGAAACATCACAAAAATATGCCTTTAAATTCCAGTACTTTTTGTGAGGTTTTCTTCTCAAGGAGTCTTGGAGCATGCCTTAAAACAGCCTGCTTTCATTACAGAGTTTTCCTGTGGTCCTACTTTCAGCAGGAGGTTGAACTAGGTGACGCCCTAAGGTGCCTTCTAATCTGAGACGTTCGGTGATTCAGCAGGGAAAAATAATCTCTAAAGGGTCTTTTGAAATGAATGAAAAACTGTCCAAGAACCCATTTTTATATAATGATACTATCTTTATTAAATCCATCTATTTGTGGCATGTATTAAGTTGCCTCTTTTGAATCAATGAGAAACTATTCTTGTAGTACTTCAGGAAGACAGGTGTTAGAATCTGAAATCAATATCTGAATAGGGAATTCATAGACATTTCTCAAAGTGCAGAGTGCAGTTGAAGGAATAATCTAGACTTCAACTTGCAGTCAGTTAAAATAATAGGTGTCTGGTTACATCTAAGGAACCTGAAGGTGCAGAGAACCCTGGGACCTGATGTGTTTCATCAATGGATCATGAGGGAACCAGCAGATGAAGCTGTTACGCCATTATTCATCATATTGAGAAGCCAAGGCAGTTGGGTGAAGTTCCCAGTGACTGGAAAAGGGCAAACATAACCCCCATTTCTAAAAAGGGAAAATAATAAGATCTGGGGAAGTACAGACAGGGCAGACTCTGTTGATGGATAAGAGAAGAGCAAGTGATGTCATCTAGCTGAACTTGTGCAACGCGTTTGACACAGTCCCATATGACATCTTTGTCTCTAAATTGGAGAGACATGGATTTCATGGATGGACCACGTGGTAGATAAGGAACTGACTGGATAGTTGTGTTCAATGGGTCAGTGTCCAAGTGGAGATCAGTGATGAGTGACATTCCTTAGGGGTATTGGGACCAGCGCTGTTTAACATCTTTGTTGACATGGATGGTGTGACTAATTTTACCCTCAGCAAGTTTTCTGATGACACCAAGCTGTGAGATGTGGTTGACATGCTGGAGGGAAGGGAGGCCATCCAGAGGGATCTTGACAGGCTTGCAAGAAGGGCCTGTGCAAAATGCGTGAAGGCTAGGTGCAAAGTCTTACATCTGGGTTGGGGCATTCCCCAGCAGAAAATGGACTGAGAGCAGCCCTGAGGAAAAGTACTCGGGGGTGTTGGTTGATGAGGAGCACAACATGAAGCCAGTTGTATACTGGGCAGCATCCAAAGCAGTGTGACCAGGTCAAGGGAGGTGATTCTGCCCCCCTACTTTTCTCTGGTGAGATCCCACCTGGAGTATGGTTTCTAGTTCTGGAGTCCCCAACACAGTAAGGACGTGTAGCTCTTGAAGCAAGTCCAGAGGAAGGCCACAAAGGTGATTTGAGGGCTGGAGCACCTCTCCTGTGAACACAGGCTGAGAGAGTTGGGCTTGTTCAGCCTGGAGAAGAGAAGGCTCCAGAAGACCTTATAGAGGACTTCCAGTATCTGAAGGGGCACCTACAGGAAAGCCGGAGAGGGGCTTTCTACAATGGCTTGTAATCATATGACAAGGGGGTATGGTTTTAAACAGGAGGAAGGGAGATTTAGCTTAGATATTACAAACAAATTCTTGACTGTGAAGGTGGTGAGACAGGGGAACATGTTGCCCAGGGGAGTTGTGGGTGCCTCATCCCTGGAAGTGTTCAAGGAGAGATTGGATGGGGCTTTGGGCAATCTGGTCTAGTGGGAGGTGTGCCAACCAGCGCATGCATGAGAACTTGGCACTAGAGGATCTTTAAGGTCATTTTGACTTCAGACCAGCCTATCAGTAACAGATTTAATCCTACACTGTAATGGACAAAGACCTGAATCACTATAGGCTGGTAGGAAATTACTAATGGATTTCAGTAAAACAAGCATCTCAGGAGAAAAAAAATCTGTGTTCACTCTGGTAAGCCCGATTGACAGGTAATTGTAGATTAAGAAATTAAGTGCATTATGCACCCCAATATGTGCTGAAAAAAATAAATATATATAATCCAGGTAGTAACTGGGACAGTGATTGCCACAATTTTACACTATTTTCTTGAGCAGCAAAATCTGTTAAGTGAGTCTAGTATAATGCTGTGTTGTGTTATCCTTAAATGTGATACCTGGCTATAAATACATTTTAGTAACACCATGACAGAACAACACGTGGATTTGATTTTGAAGCCCGGTGATAAAACGTGTCATCTTTTACTCCTAACAAATTCAGAATTCCTCCAGTGAGGCTGCAGGGGAAGAGTGAGTTTGGAAGCTTTCCTTTAAGTTTCTGGATATCTGTCAGCTCCTATCCAAAACTTAACTTTTCTGTGTAAGACTGTGGTTGGGGAAGTTTCCCAGCTAGGATTTGTATATCTCTTAACATTATCAAGAGTCTTGAAAAATAGTTCATGACAACCTCATGGAAGCAGGGATTTCGGCAGGTGCTGCTGTTGGGAGTGCAGCTGCTGTGTCAGAAATGGTACTTCGGAAGACTCTGTTCATGTGAAATGTTCACACTAAAAAAAGTTCCTAATTGCCTGCATATGCATGCCAAAAAAACCTAAGCTTAGTCAAAAAGGCTTATTATGCAAACCCCATTTGGTTATATGTACAAATGTGTGATTTTCTCATTTAGGAAGGAATAATGTGCTGTTGGATTTAACAAGGGCAACCAGTTGGTAAGCTCTGTTTTAACAAGTAAAAGAACTAGCAGTCCTCGGCCAGTTACAACACAGTTGCCTGAATTCTGTGTGGTGGTGTGAGTGAAGATATAAGATGATGTATGATGGGTTGGGTGAAGAAGAGGGATTTTGGGTCAAGGATAGTCTTAAGCACATGCTATGTAATCTTTAACGTCCATGACAAAAAGCATGACTTCACAAGCTGATCCGGCATCCCATCAAGGCCATTGGTAACTTCTGATTAATTTTTTGGAAAGGTGTTAATTCCATTTTATATCCTGATATGCTTATGTATATTTCCCATTATTTTTTTCTTTGGAACTCATTTATGTTGAACTAGATGTGGAATTTAAAATGTGAGATGAAATTTCTGCCTTTTTTATGTCCTGATATTAATTAACACTGTCAGCTACACCTATTAAGAGACACATTGCTTTTAGCTGGTATAGATACAACAGAATGAACGTAGCATGTTAGTTGATTTATGCGATTAACAACATTCTTACTGGTTTTTGGCACTTCTGTTTCTCTTTTTTCTATACCCTCTTGCCTTCCTCTGCACAGATGCAGGAGGCCTGTGTCAGAGCCATGCTGGATAGAGAACAGAAGAACTTGCTTTTTTTTTTTTTTAAATATGTTTTTTCTTAATTGTGCTTGTGGTTATCTGATGTAGGGCATTTCTTTTCCAAAGATTGACACATTTATTTTAAACATTCTCTCCCTTAGTGGCTCAGGGCACAGGAAAAAAAGACTTTATTCATTATTTGACTGCTTAAATGATCCTATAGCATGGCATCTTTTGCACCTCATATACTGTACTACAGTTAAAACTAGGCAGTGTTTTTTGTCTCCATAATGTTGCTTCCTCTTTTAAAGAAGAAAATACATATGTGTTTCACAAAGAGTATTCCTCAGTAGCACTCTCAGGGAATCACAGAATCGTCATGGTTGGAAAAGACCTGTAAGATCACCTAGTCCAACAGGGGTGGAGGGAAGGGGACAGCATAACCCACCGTAACAAACAACAACAACAAAATCCCTCACAACCACAGACCCCACCAACAACACAAAACCCACAAGAAACCCCCTGTGTCCACTAGAGCATGCCCTGAAGTGCCACATCTGTGCATTTCTTGAATACCTCCAGAGATGGTGACTCTACCACCTCCCTGGGCAATGGTAGGAATTATCCTTCTTTTGCAGCCTGAAATGCTTTACTTTGCTCAAGTGTCTTGAATTATGACTTCAACATACTGACACTGGAAATATGCAGTCCAGTTAAATGAATAAGGGAGTAGGTGCTTTGCCTCAGGAGAGAAACTGCCTTAAATTGTGGAATGAGAAGGTGTCCATAGAGAAGGCTTTATTGTCTGACCTGTAAGTGCCAAAGTTGCTAGTTAGGGGCTTCTTTCTTTTATTTTTCCTTCCTTTCCTTTTGTTTTTTTTTTCCTTCCAAATATTTTGGCATATTTCAAGCTGAATTTCCAAGATAACCCTGGACTGCAATAACATGGTATCTGTATCTCTGTTTTAACAGCGCTGATCAGGCTCTAGACAGATTTGCTATGAAGAAATACTTTGATGATAAAGTTTCAGCTTTAATGCAGCCATCCCAAAGAAGGTATTTAATTTGTTTCTAATTCATACCAATAAGCGTTATCATTATTATCTTTTGCCCTCAATCCTCATTGGACTCTTGGACCTGCACGGCTCTTTGTCACTTGAAAAATAGTAAAACAGCATTCTATTGGATTTGAAATAAAGTTTTTATAACTAGAAATTTACTGCCTTTTTGTTTTATGCTTGCATGAATGTATATTGCACTTTAACAATAAGGATTTGAGGGAGGGGCCTACCACATACGTAAGTATGAACCATAGGAGCAAAAGGAAATACATGTTCTTAGTCTTCCTACCAAGAAGCTGTGTGCAGCAGGCATATTTCTATGAGAGCCAGTGACTCTCACAACAGCCTCTTTAAATTGTGCATCAGGGCAGTTTTTACAACCATGTCAACAGGAGGCTTCAGTAGCTATTAACTTAGTTGATCTGTATTTGAGACGTAAAACTAGAGATAAAATAGCTGTAAATGGTGATACGAAGCTTTCTTACCCTCTCCAGAGACACTTACTTAATTCTTCTTGGGAGCAGAGGGGAGGAGGTCTCAGAGGGACTCGGTTCACCTCCTGACTGATGTAATTTGCTCAGCAGTGCTAAACTTGAGCTGCCATTACTGGCTTGCAGACACATGTGCACACAGGTACTTTGGAGTGTCTCTCCCCCATGAGAGCAGAGGGGGTTCTCCAAATCATTTGTCATAACCATTCTTGGCCTGAACCTGGCCTTTCCTACCTTTGCATGGCTTGGTAGTGGCTACTCATCCTATTGCAGGGAAAGGAAAACCACCTCTAATATATGTGGGTAATTTTTTAGTCCTTTACTGATCTCATTTTGATCCATTTGTAGCCTGAATCACCTTTTTAATGTGTGTTTCCTCTGAAACCATTCTTGGATCATTAGTTATTGATGTCTTTGTTAAAATCCAATTGACGTATAAACAGGTATAATTTCAGTGAATGTCAAAATGATAACATTTGAAAGTACATCCCTTATTTGTATTTTACATTAAGTTTTGTCCAGAAAATAGTAAATTGTGGCCATTAACTGCATCAGTCCTGAAACTATCACTTAGCTGTTCCTTGCTGCTAGTCAGATACTGTAACAGTGGCAAGAAACTCTAGCGGAGTTCTCCTGTTCTGAATCCATTCTGACAGTAATTAAAACGAATACTTATTCTCAGATAAGCAGTTGAAGATCTGCCTGAATCTGAAGTGCAGATGCAGACCCTTAATATCTAAAAAGTTCTTATAAACTTTCAGGATAAATCTTTGAACATGCTTCTCAAAAATAAGCCAACTGCCTGTAAGCCTTATAAATGCACTGCCTTGAGAAAGGTTTTCAAAAGTCCAGTCAAATTTTCGGAATAATTAAAAGAAGGTAGTGGTAGAGAGAAATTGTTCAGACTGAGAGGTCACTGACAGAATGTTTTACCACACTTTTTTTTTTTGTCACAGAGGTGTGACAATTTGTAAATTTGTTCTTTTGATGTACTAAATATTCTCAGAAAGACTGAAGGAGGAAATAAAAAAAAGCAAAGTTGCCTTTTGTTAGCATTTTAAAATAATTTGAACTTTGCTAGCTGGCTATAAAATTAAATCTATTTTAGACCACCACAACAACTCCATTCTGGGGTAGCAAATCTGTCATTTTTGGGCAGAATATCTTCAGCTGTGATGTTACCAGAAGCATGCAGTAAGGGATTGGTTAATGAGGTCTGTGTCAGGAAGCAAAAACAAGGTGATTTTCTTTTTTCTATACATTTCTGAGAGTGAAGTTAAATGAAGGTCAAGTCATGGGCATACAAGAAAAAGAGACTCAAAGCCAGTAGAAAGATTTAAGGGGAGAGGACATGCACTGCAGTGGAGTACTTCCATGTACTAGCTCAATGAGCTTGTAACTAATCTAGGTATTAAATAGCAGAAATACAATAATTTTCACATTGTGGTGGTAGTTTTCCTGAATGAGATCACTTCTCATGATGAAGATGTTATTTCCCTGCATTGACCTTAGTGGTAAGATTTTTCACAAGGCCACTTCATTTTTTAATGAAGTGCACTTCAGTGTACTAAGTGGAGTGGGACTTAGGTAGTGCTGCTGTGAAAGCCGTTTGAGATCTTCAGTTGCAACTAGAAGTGTATGCCAAAGTAGTTGGCTTTACTATCTCTTTCTTACATAGAGTAGTGACATAAATAGCTAAAATGAAGACATCAACAATATCAATGTAACAGCCATGGATTTAATAAAGTGGTAAAGTGTCTTTTCATTGTAATTAGTAAAAATTACTCTATTCAAATTGTGTAATATCACAATGGTATTCACTACACATGGCCTAGAAATATTATTGTGTAAATAATGCATGTCAGTGATGTGGTTGTATTACTGTTTTTATTTAATTCAGATAAATTTTGTATTTTAGATACGTACAGTTCTTAAGTGGCCTTCTATCTGGATCTGTGAAAATGAATGCAAACCCTCTTTTCCTGCACTATGTTATCCTTCATGGCATCCCAAACTTTGATGCTGGAGGAGGTAAATTACCAAACTTTTCCTATCCAAGTGTAGGCTCGAAGTCTTGTTTCATTTTGGAGCTTTCTAGAAAGCCTGCATGAATCTCAAAGTAGAGTTGATGCTCCTTGGTATCAGTTGAAATATGCCTTATGCAAGAACCAGCAGAAGAGAAATATGCTAAGAGTAAAAATGACACCAGATGAAATAAAATTCTTGACCTTTGTTAAATTAAGAGTTGATGCTGTTAACTGCCTAGTTTCTGAATGTTGTGATCTCAGTTCCTGCGAAAGAGCTGACACGGTCAGGTTTCACAGCCCTTTCCTCCTTGTTTAGGAAACACAGTAATACATTTTATCTCATTTCTTTTTTGAGATTGAATTTTCTGCAGGAGCCTTTTGGAGATGGTGTGCTTCTAGAGTAGCCGGCTGTAATAAGTCCCTTTAAAATAAAAATGCTAAGCTAATTGTGCTAGAGTATAGTGATTGAGTATAACGGTATTTTTATCATCCCAGAGTTTTGTAATGTCATCAGCATGAATTTGCAATGCTCCACTGTGATTTTTTTTTCAGTATGATTTTATTTCTAAAATAACTATTTCAATAAAAGCAAGATATTGTTTGTTGTACTAAGAAATTTAAGGGGCTTATTAATCCCATAAACTATAGAGAAAATATTCTCTTCAATTCTGAAAATGGGTTTTTTATTTAAGGGGGTGAAATATTTTAAAACTGCCTCCTCTTCAATTCAGAACTAGTCTAAAGGTCATAGAAAAAGTAACTTTTTAATAAAATATAATTCTTGCTTTGGGGAAAATGAATCTGTCAAAGCCAATTTTGCCTCAAAGGGTATTTTTGGCAGTTGATGTTGTGCCACTTGTGTGGCATTTTCCTTAGTATGGATGTGCTTGAAGCTTCAGTTCTAACACTTAGATAAAGGAAAATAATTGCAAAGCAGTATTTCTGTTTACTTCTTTTCAGCTTGCCAGCTTTTTCTGAAGTTATACCAGGCTATGCAACCAGTTTATACATCTGGAATATAGTAAGTCATAAGCATTTTCCCATATTTTGAATCCAATCTTTGAATCCAGATTGTAATGCTCATAATTGCAGAATTAAATATTTGTTGTTTGTTTTGTTGTTTTGTTTTGGTAAACCATGAATTTTTCTTTTCTCTCCCGTTAAGTAGTGTAGGGTCAGAAAATCAAAGCCGAATCTGCATAGCTATAGACCCTGCCCAGCTTTTGAAGGGAGATATTACGGTAAGTTAATTACGTGGAATGCAAATCTATTACTTTGCCATTTAGTTTGTAGTCTGACCTTGTTTGAGTTCTTGTGTAAAAACTAAATTGAGCAAACAGTTGCGGACATACTACAAAATACAGGTTAAGTTAATTTCGTCATCATCCCTGGGTTTTATAAGTGTAGTGATAGGACCAGAGGAAATGGCTTTGAACTGGAAGACGGGAGATTAAGGTTAGACATTAGGAAGAAATTATTTAGTGTGAGGGTGGTGAGACACTGGAACAGATTGCCCACATAAGCTGTGAATGCCCCCTCTCTGGAAGTGTTCAAGGCCAGGTTGGATGGGGCTTTGAGTGACTGATCTAGTGGGAGATGTCCCTGCCCATGCAGAGGAGTTGGAACTAGATGATCTTTAAAGCTCCTTCCAACCCAAGCTATTATATGACTCTATGATTCTGTGTCTCAAATACATGCTAATTTTTAAACACGTAGCTTTTCAGTAGTTCTTCTGTAATTTTAAGGGATCAACCCATGCTGTTGTTGGAGGTAATTCTTCTGAGCAAGCCAGAATACTCAGCATGGTAGTTATTTCCTAAACGTAGGCTTCACTTGAATTTTTAGTATCTTTTTACCCATGTCTAAGCAAAAACATCAGTGATTTCAGGAAAAAGAAAAATCTGTAACATGCTCTGCCTCCCAAGTCCAAAAGGTTTCACCACTTGGAGTGCATGGGTTTAAAAAACAAAACAAAACAGACTTGCTTGCCTTAGGTTTAGAGAAGTGAAGACAATATGAATAGTATGTGGTGCTACTGCACAGGCACGACAGCTGAAAAGCTGCACTGACATCTGCATGTAGATATTTCCCAGCATATTGCATTGATTCTGCACTGAAGGCATCAGAAGGTAGTGGAGTCTGAATTCAGAGTTAGTCTTAGATTTCATTGAAAGCTTATTATGTGTATTTAGCACTAAAATATGTACACTGTTACTAATAGTAAGAGAGGCCAGATTTTCACAATTACATTTCTATGTAAGTGAGTAGTTAAGGATATCCTAAGTTAAAATTATTCAAGGCTTTTTCTTTGGTTTGTAAAGTAGTAGGAAGCAGGAACTACATTGTTACCTGAACTGACCCAGATTCAGCTTTTCTATAAACACGATTATGCAATTCTGAGTAAATCCAGTAAATGTGTGAAGTCAAAATTCTTGACAAATTGGAGGATAAAATATATTGTTCAGGTGTTTAGTCTTCTTCATCTTCAGAAATTATCATGTATGATCCATATGTAAAAATAATGTGATTGTTTAAACAGCTGAAGTCATTAATGTTTTAACACAAAATTGTGTAGGAATGTATATAACCTTAAAGAAACTCTTAAATCTACTCAGGCTTCTCTTTGCTCACATTGTATAATTAAGTAGACTTATCTCAGTTACTTTCAGGCCGATTATAAGTTTTGGAGCAGGTTGGTTCTAATATATCCCATCGGGGCTCTCTTAATCCCCTTTCTGTCGTTTTTTCACTTCTGGAGAAATTTTTAGGTTTCATCCTTTATGGTGATGTTTTGCCATTATGCTATTGCTGGGCATACTGGAAAACGGGTGGTTATTTATTCTCAAATTGAGCAATCTGTTTCTCCTGCCTTATCTTTTGGTAATTTAAGGGACTAGTTTATGGCCATGGCTGTAGTGAAATTACATTGGATGTTGTGTTGGATTAAAAGAAAATAGATCTCTTCAGTAGGTAGGTGTTTGTATACTACATTAATTTTAGTGGATGTAAAGCCCTGTTGAAAATAAGAAGCAATTACTATTTTATGCAGTATTACCACTGTGCTGTAGGGGGTTCTCTTTTTAAAGAAAAAAAAAGAAACAAACAATCTCAAATCCTCACTTTCAGATAAAATAATGCTTGTTTGCGTAGATACCCTTATAAATCTCTGAACCCTTATAAAGGGTTAGGAGGATGTGGTTTGCATAGAGAACACCTGAAAAAAAACTTTCTCTGCTATATGGACTGAAGTTGTCCTGTGTGTCATGGTCAACACTGGTTAACTTCTGGAATTTAAGGCATTATGGGATTACTGCAGTGAAGGGTAGAGAGCAGCATCTTATGTTAGATTTTTCAAATCTTGTAGTGAGGCTTTCAGAATCATCCCTCTTAAACTCCTGAATCTTTCTTGCATTACTTCAGTTTGAGTAACTTCTAGCACTTCAGTTATTCAGGTTTTCTGTCTGGAATACTTTTCTTAGTCTGCCTTAAAATGGTGTTTTTTATTGTCTTTTAAATGCATTTCAGTAACATCTGCTTTGTCATAAAATCCTGATACCATCAATATCACATTCCTGCAAGAATGCTTAGTTGCTATGTATTACAATTGACTCAGAGAATTAGTGGGTAAAATATCCAGAGATCTAGTCTAAGGGAAGGTGATATTAGAGAGTAAGGTGTATTGTGTTCACCTTTTGCTGCTGAAATTCATACTAGATGTTAATTTTAAGGAGTTGCGTTGTTCTAGCCCAGGTATCAAAACTACTACCAAGTTTCCTCAGTAACATAAAACAAAATCCTGTCATCACTGGAGTAGGTTTTCAAAAAGTCCTAAAATAAATGTAATCAGCTTGCAGACTTGCTTCTAAAAACTCTGCGTATTCTTCAGTTATTTTGAAGTGGGTGTGCTGTAATTCAGTTTTATATTAATTTGGTATAGTGAAGAAGTGCAGATACAAGTCAGCATTCCAACATAGTACTGACAAATGATGTGATTCTGAATCATCATCTACTGATTGGTCACTGATAGTGATGAAAAGAATAATTGTTATTTTTACACATCCAGAACTATCTTGCCTTGGGCCTATGTAATGTAAAGGATTGAATAACGCATTCCCTGTTTGTTAGAGCATCAGAGATGTCTGCAGTAAATTGAACTGTGGCTGCTTTATTTAGCAGCTAACACATGTGCACATATTTGTACATGTTTGTAAGAAATCACTTCTTGACCTGTTTTCTCTGTCTCTCTAGCTCAAGTGTTACCATAAAAAGTACCGGTCAGCTACTCGTGATGTGGTTTTTCGCCTTCAGTTTCATACTGGAGCCATTCAAGGACACAACCTGGTGTTTGGCAAAGATGATTTGGACAATGCCAACAAAGGTACTTGCCTTCTGGGCTGGTTGGGTGTGTATGTGTGTGCAGGGGTGCATGCGTGTGCCTGTGCATGCGATGATCATCTTCGGGACCTGTTTTCAAAAGGATTCTTTGGTTTTTGCATCCCTATTTTTAGGGATAGGGAGACTACTTTGTGTTAGTTAACTCATAGCATGTAATATGGATAAGCCCCTAATGAGCAGAAGAGCTCTTCAAGAGAGTTAGCTTGTCATAATAATTCTGATACTCCTACATAGTCCTTATCACCTCCTCTCACTGTTGTAAAAAAACCAGACATTTGTTTCAAATAGTGACTCAGTCACCATTACAGGAAATAAGATGAGCTAGGCCAGTCTGGCTTTTGGCAGATGAAAACAGTTGCAAAGCTTGATACTGGTTTTGTGACCTAGTCATCTTCAGTGTGGAGATCTTTTAGTATGCTTCAGAGGCAAACTTAAAAATGTGTTGTGCTAGTCTTTGTATTTTCCAAATTATTACTTCAGTTTTATGTTCATATATGCATACAACATGCAAGATTCTAAGTCCCCCTACACTATGTTACCAGCAAATTAAAATCTAACAGATTTTACTGCTACGTATGAATACACAAACATTCTGTGGTTAAGTATTGCAGTTTAGCCACTATAGAGGATAATTTTAGTATGCTCCTGGGTGTGTTTTCCTTTTAAAAGCCAATGCCAGCTATGTCTATCTAAAGAGAGGCTTGGAATCTGTACATCTCTTCTGCTTTTGACTGTTCTTGGAAGTAAACAAAACTTCAGCTGACACTTACATGGTCTTTTTTGGAGAATGTATGGGTCAAAGCATGTGACTCTTTTAGAAGGAAATTGCTAAACTGCAAGTGATGAGGGAAGAGTGACGAGGGTATGTGTATTAGTAGCCATAGAGAATCCTAATTTCTGAGGCCCTTGGAACTGCTTTTCTGGGAGGTAGTTTGCTGAAATACTATCCTGTATTTTCAGATGACCGTTTCCTTGATTATGGCAAAGTGGAATTAGTTTTTTCAGAAACTCCAGAGAAGATTCAAGGTGAGGATACAGAAGAAAAAATATGCTTGTTTTGAAAATAAACATCATTGAAATGTAGTTTGTTTTTTTCTAAATTGTTTTCCCTCTGTTATTCTACTTCCCTTTTAGAATATTTGAAATTCAGCTTTACTGTTAAAATATGCAATATAGTTACTGTTTTAAATTTGAAAAATTTAATTAATCCTCTCTATTTACATCAACATAAGAGTGATCAGATTTTGTTTTAAAACTATACCAGAACACTTGCTGACAGCTAGTAGAAAACATTTGTCTATCAGTGTAAAACATGCATAGTACTGCTAGCTTGGCCTGGCATAAGTGACAGCATTGGCCTATCCTATAACTTTTTTGGATGTTGTTATAACTATGTTTGCAGTGGTGAAGTTTGGACTATTTTCAGTTTAGCATAAACAGATACAGCTGTAGTTTTGTTGGAAGTGCCTCTGCAATGAAGTTTGCTTGTTGGTTATATCCTGTGTGCCTCCAGAGTGTTGTAATAAGTCTAAGAACTCAGACAATCACAACCTGCAATAAGAGTTCAAGATCACATGTTATATCGTTACTTGCTTTATAGTGTCCTGAAAAGTAGGGATTCTGCCTGAGACTGAATGAAAATCAAATACTTTTAAGTGTTTAATTTATCGTCCCATTCAGTGTCCTATGAATTACATGGTTTTTTATGTTGTTTTTTTCCCCCCAACAGTCTGATCTACTTAGAAACTTGTAGTAGGAGCCATAAGAAGCTGGATTTTGTCCAGCTGAACATTAAGATCTCAGCCTAATGGAAAGCCATATAAGAAAAATAGTTTTATAAATAAATTTGTACTGCTTGTTATAAATGCTCCTGGATCGTTTTTTCAAGTCTCCCTTCCTTAACAGGGAAAACAGAGGTGTGGTTTTTAGCAGGCTTTAAGTTGTTGGGCATTAAGGTTCTAAGTAATTGGAAATTTGTGTTCAATTGGTATATAAGAGATTAATTGGCTAGGAAGAAGGCTTCACCTTGAAATATTTATTTACAATTTTTTGCAAAATTACTTTTACACATCTGAAAATATTATGGAATCAGAGAATAAGTACAGGGCAGCTGTCAGCTCTTCCTGTTCATCTTTACTAATAAGCTTCTCTGGTATCAGAATGATGATCTGTAGCAAAGTTTTATTTTAGTATTTCTTTAGTACCATCTCTTTACAGATACTTGTGGTTTCATTCTGAAAAGCTGATTTTTTTATTATGACTACCTATAGGGCTGAGTGAATCATGTCTGTCTTAGTTGTGGTTAGGGGCTGATTCAAATTCTCAGAGCTACATCATAATCAAGAAACTCAAGATAAAATTTTCTGCTTGTACCTTCTGTAATGAAACACAAACTAAGTTTTTTTTAGCTGGTTTATTTTACCTTTCTTCCTCTGTTGCTGCTTCTTACATTTCAGCATATGGTTTGGAGAGCCAACATGTCAGAAGGCCACGTACATGCACATGCATGTATAACATTACAAATGCAGCTATGAGCATTTTTAGTCTCAAACAGATGTTTATTTTTTAGGATGTGAACACCTTCAGAATGACCGTGGAGTGATAGTTGATTACAGTACCTCAGACCCACTCATACGCTGGGACTCCTATGAAAATATGAGCCCTGATGGGGAAGGTGAGTAATTCAGTGACATGAGACCAAGGCAAAGCCTTTTGAAACTGTACCAGAGTTGTGGAGAGCTTACTTGAACCTAATGCCACTTCACTGATTTATTAAGTAGCTACCTACCCATCTCTGTTTAGGTTTAGTAACTCTAATGAAAAGAAGTCCACAGTTGTTTAAGAGAGATTATTGTTAATGCACTAAATTGGACTGAGACACAACAGGTTGATATGAGCTACTTTGTTATCTGTAAATTTGCTTAATTTTTTTTTTTTTTTTTGTTCTAAAGCTTCTAAGTTGGAAACCTAATATAGGATTTTAACAGCAACAAAATGAAGTGGTGAGTTTTCAGCCTTCAGTACTTACTACATTATCTGGAGAGTTGCAGGACGTGCACGATGCTGTAAAGATTCAGATAAACAAAACAGGAAAGGATGTGCATGTTTGCATATTTCCCCTCATAAATTTACCTGTTTCTGAATTGCCCTTTTATTTCTTAGATTTTTTTTTTCCTGAAATCTGCTGACACATGCAGAAGATGAAAGCCTCCATAGCTGCTTTCAGATTCTGATTCCAGTGTGGATGCTTTTCTGATGCTTTGCCTGAGTTAATGTTTTGCTTCTAATGCATGTATTTTTCATGTAAGGACTCGGAATGTCCCACCTGTATCTGCACAGCTCAGTGCACATGCAAGCCTGACATTGTTCCAAGTAAAAACATGAGAGAAGGTATTGAAAGGATGCCAAAGTTCGTGTTTTTACAACTCTCCTCTTAAGAAATGAGAGAGGTGGAGCTAGAATGCTTAATTGGCTGCTCTCTAGCCTCAGTTTTCATTGATTTGTATAATCTGAATTCAACATTGACCATCTAATGACTGCGTTGGGGAGGGTTCTAGGGGCAGACGCATACAAGTAGCTTGACTTTTTCCTCTGCGTCACTCTTGTATGGGAGTATTTCCTGATCCACTGCAGACACCAATCTGCAGAAAATGAGGGGAAAATAGTGGACGGAGAGAGAGTACAGTCACTTGGCACTGTTACATAGGGCAGGTAGAGCGCTCTGTAAGGAGTCATCAGAGGTTTTATAGTTGGGTAAGACTGTGCAGTGTCTTTTAGAAGAATTAGAAGGAGCAACATAAGAGATACTGAATCTTGACTAAAGAAGTTGTTTCAATTTCTACCCAAGATGTTTACAAATAATTTGCTTCCTTTTTTTCCACCCATTGTTTCCCTTTCCTTTGTATATACGTAGCCCTTTGAAAGCAATGCATTGATGTAAAGTATCTTTTAACTGCTAAGATTGATGGATACGTGACTTTGACCTTCCCATCCTCATGCATTTTATTGCAGGTCACTAAATTGGTAGAGGAAACTGAAAGCAGAAATAAATGTGCAGGCAGTAAGCTGTAGGAAGATAAAGAACTGTATGCTGCTTGTGCCTTGTAGAAGACTTGATCACAAATCATTCACAAGTGCAATTAGCTTGGTTTCAGAAGTCATATGTGCCACTTAATAGATTATATGTGTAATTTGTGAGCTTGATATATTTTTAATTACCTGAGATACAACATAAATATGATGTTTTAGGATAGATATTGAGAAGTTTATTATGCATCTGCAGAGAAGTCGCTAGAGTTGAAGCTAGAGAATATACCATAAGAAAATGGGATGTATTCATATATTCTTTTCTCAAGCAAACATTTAAGAGGCAGGGTTTTATCCTATGGTGCTTAATGACCAAGTTGTAGACAAAACATTTGTCTCTGCTTGGACTGGGCAAAAGATCAGAAGGGGTTAAAGCACATACAGATGACATCTGTGTTTAACACAAAGGTAAGCTTGGTGTGCTCCAAAAGGTAAATGTAGTTTTAGTTTTTATTTTACATAGGAATTAGAAACACCAGGACAGACTTTTTTTCATGATTTGTTACAGCAGTTCGATACTGTGCTTTTGCATTAAGAAGATGTATTGAATCCTAGTTTTCACCACAGATGAAAGACTTTAGGGTCTGAAGGCTTTAGGTATAATCTTGAAGGCAGAGAGAGAATCTGTTTTGTACCTCAGGAAAGGTTAAGGTGCAAGATGTGGTGCATTTGAAAGCTAGCATGACAGTGATGGTACGTTGAAGATGCAGGGAAGTTGCATGCAGAAACTTATGTTTCAGTTCTACTCCATGTTCAGATAAACTCCTAGCCTTAAGTAGGAATATCTTCATGGTTTTACTCGTACGTGTTTCCCCACAGGAATTTAAATAGGAATAGTATGAGATAGGAGTGTGACAGATGACAGATGATTCCTGTATTACATTTGCACAACTTTTTGTTCATTTCAAAAATGCTTGAGAAATTTCAGATCAAGATGGCCAGGAGGGCTACAGCAGAGCTTTGTGACATGAACAGGATTTGCTTTGTAGCTATACGTTTGTGGAATGGCTGTTTCCAAGCTGGTGTGTTAAAATGGAAAATTAGAAGTGAACCATAAGCAGAATGTCTCTTTTGAAATATTACACCTATTTGTCCTTGTTATCAAAAGAACAAAAGATAAAAGATGTGGTAAAAGAAAAATATTCCCGAAGTATCTTTTGTTTCTTGGCGTGATGCAGTATTGCAGACAGAAGCGATTGCCTTTTAAAGGATCTTGAACCTTTTGATTGTAATGTGGTCATGTATATTTGTGTTGAATACAGCCGGGCTTTGGACAGTTTGCTCTCTAGATTTAGTTCCTTGTCCCTCATTCTTAACAGCATAAAAGTTTTGACAATTGGAAAGCAATAAAGAATTTTAATAATGAATACTGTTTCTCTTCAGATCCCATAGAAAATCTGTCTTGTATATTGCACAGATGATCCCCTGTAATAGGCTGAAGATTTTATTCAGTTTCTAATTCTAAGTTTGCATCAGATTTCCTTCTCGTCAAGCAGTACAATAGCACAGAGACTTCTGTTATGCTGATTTAAAGGTAGGCAGTCGAACATAGGATTTGGAACCTTGAGACTTCATGCTGCCATGTAGAAGCCTGAGATAGTTGCCGTGGGTTTTCTTATGGTTTCTAAGTCTTTTGTGTGTTTTGTAGGCAGGAAGGAACAGAAATTACTTTTGATCTTGCAGACTACTCTTTCCATTTTTTTTACTCTTAAGGCATAACTTGCCATACAATAGATGTGTATGGATTTACAAATGGTCAATCCTTTGCTGCAAAATAGCAAGTTGATCACAAAGATATACCACCTGTGGCCACAAATAAGTAGTATCTTCTGTTATGTCAGGAGATTTAAATGTTTCCCAATTCTTCTTGATAATCCTGTTTGCCAATTTAAAACTTGAATAACTGTAGCTCACATACTTTCAGCTGCACTTCACTGTCAGTCTTCCTTTTGATTACTAAGGTCATCATATCTGCCTCCTTTATATTTACAGGGATCTGGGATTTGGAGTTGTTCATGATATTATTTTGAGAGTAGATTGAAGTGATGGACTAAACTAATGCAGGCTTCATAGCTTTTGCTATCATTAAAAACTAGCAAAAGCAATTACTGCTTGTAGTTGTGGCGTTTTGCAGCAGGTATGGGGAGAGTAGTGATAAATGAGGTTGAAGTATTTTCTGTGGGAACAGAAAGTTGAAAACAAACACTTCCCTCCTGGTGAAAATACAAGTCTTCTTTTGCATAAGAACTGTCAGTTTGTGTGGAACCCACCTGTGAATCCTTCCACAAGCCTGAGGTCTGAGGTGTTCTGGAAAGAAAATCAGAGATATTAAAATAAAAATTAAATGTATTTCCAAAGAGCAGAAACTCATTTTGGTAAAGAAGGTGAATAATTGGAAGAAAAGATGACTGCTGGTGTTCCTTTTGCACTGTCCATGACAACTGTATCTCAGGTTTATTCCGGGTACCCTGATAGCATGCTAAGATTATTCTAGAGAGAATCTGCCATGAAGGAACAACTCTCTCTGAAGACAGTGACTGTGGAATGTGTGTGACTGGGATGCTGTACTGTCATTTGTGTGTGCAGCATTCAGTTAGTTGAGATACAGGATTGGTTTTGTTTTTTTAAAATACAGAATGCTGGTCAGCATCAAAGATTATAGTTGGCCAAAATAATATTTATTTTATTTTGACTAAATTCAATGGATTGGCAACAGAAATGTATTTGGTTCTTAATCACTATTCTATTTGAAAACGTTTCACTTATTTTAACAACCACTAAATCCCTCTGCACTCTCTGGCAGCTCTACAATCTGTGGAAAGAAAAGAATACGAGCACATGTTACAAATTGCTTAAAATGGCAAGAGAAGGACTTTCAGCAAGTTTTTACAACACAGGAACTTAACTGTCTTTCTCAACAGAACCTTGCTGTTTGTTTCCTGGCAAAGTGGGTTTGCTTGCTTAGCCGTGTTTAATAATTAGAAAAAGAACAACTTTGAAAGTAAAAGGGTGTTTTAAATTCAAGCCAAATAGGTTAGGACTGAACAAATCCAAATTTCTGTATCTTGAGAGTATTGCTTTACAGATTTTCTAGGCTTTTGTAACTATAATCAACACCAATTAGTAGAAAATGTCAAATATTTATTAACTGTTCCTGCTCTTTCTCTTTTCATGACGGAAGGTATCTGACAAGGATCTCCAGATAGGCAGTAGCCAACATTCTGGTATGCACCCATGTCATGTGATTAGATGTTTAACTTTTATTGAATTTTTTTCTCATCTTCAACCCAAAGTAAACAGCTGTTCAAGACAGAGGCGCCCTCTCATACAGTTAAACACTTGTTTCCCAGAGGGCCCCTCCAGTATTGCACAACTCAAGGGCTGAGACAGAAATGCTTTGGTACCTTAAAAGGAATGCAGATGCCTACCAAAGAAAACAGCACATTTGATGCCATTTCTGGTGAGTGAAGCTGAGTTGATAGTGAGTAAATGGTAGTTCCAGTTTTTAGTCAGCAGCTGGATGCAGTATTCTTTGAGACAGAGAGAGATTTGTTAGAAGGTAGGGAAGAAATGTTCTGCAACATAAAT